CCCCAAAACCCCAAAACCCCAAAACCCCTTCAGCAATGACTATTGCTTTTAGGAATCAGTAATAAAATTCATAAATAAAATGTCTTTCGTTCCTTAAGTAGCAATAAATGGCTTCAGGTAAAATGAAATAAGTTATGATATTTAGATAGGGAGGCTTTAAGTTTGTCAAGCCAGGCTCTTAATAGCAGTAAGTTAGAGATAAGAAACAGGGACTTAGTAAGAGCTAGGTTTATGCATCTTCCAGGCAAAATAAACGAGACTAGCAATACTCATTCTCAACAAACAATTATGAGTAAAGGCAACTGTAGGAAAGTATAAATGTAACTTTGAAATATTATGTTCTGATTCGAATAGGAAGATATACAATGAATGGAGTAGGAGTAGGAGAGATAAAGGTTCTTTTAGAATCTATTCGGTAAGCTTTTGCATCTTAATCATATAAGAAAGGGGAATGAAAAATAAGCCGATTGTAATGGCAAAGATTGATTTTGTATAAGACATAAAAAAGTTAAGAACTGCTTAATAGCAAGTCAATCAAACAATTAGAAGAATACATGAATAGTCACCTATGAAACCAGAGGACACAAATCCATAGACTCAATTCTAAGAGATCTTTGAAGAACCTCCTCCTATTAAGATTATTTAATCTCGGATGAATTCACAGGGAGGAAGCACTAAGAATCTTTAAAGTAAGCTGTCATAAAGGGAGTTCTCAGAAATGATGTCTCGTAGTTTGTCCAAGAATGAGGAATCTAAAATGAAAACTAGGTTGGCTTAGCAAAACTCTCATATCTATGATGAAGGAATATCCTCTAAAAACCTCATGAACAATGATATATACCCGAATCATATACCACAGATACCATCCTCACAGAATGAGTTATTGGCATAAGATGCAAATAATGCTGGGGGTGCAAATGAAGAAAATAATGATAAGCTGTAGCCAAGTAAATCTTTAAACTAGATTAAAGTGCCTGGTAAACAAGACACAATAGGCTTGCATAAAGTATTAGGTCTTGATTACAGAGAAATTAAATATGATGCTGTGAAAGAAGAGGATTCTGCATTTCATTAAGATAGTTAAATCCTTTCATTAAATGACACAAGAAGAAATCAAACGTCTCCCTCCAGTAAAAATATCAATTAGCAGAGCAAGATTAATATATGTTCTCCTGACCTGTTAAATGTAGATTATACTGACATCATCAAGCTTCAAAGACCTTTGCTAGGCAGTAAGGTTAAATAAAATAACAAAATGCATAAAAGAATGACTATACAGATATCTGATTTGAAATACAAAAGTGGACACAAAGATACTCAGAACTTTAATAATAGTATGATGTAATTTCAAAGTGCTTAGAGCAAATCAGGAATTCTTTAGTTTTAAATTATGAGAAATGACCTATAGAAGTAGAATGGCTGATCTCCATCTGTAATTGAAGTAGGGAGTCTTCAAGATGTATAAAGCGCAATCGATAAAATCAAGGATGGAAAGACCTCATACAACTTTGGAATAAGGAAAAGATCTACAAATTAATCGAGATTTTCAAATAAGAGAGACAGTTAAATTTCTATCAAATCAGCTCTGAGTAAAACTTAAGCACCAACCAATAACATTATCAACTCCTCCTAACTTATCATTAAAAGCCCTAAGAATGAAAGATAAACTATGAATTAGACAGTAAACTACATTGAAACGAGCGACTACAATGAAAAGTCTCCAAAATATTAGGACTATAGAGAAAGACTAAATTAAAGTGTTCAAGATACCATATCAATAGAAAGAAAAGAGGGTAAACCTAGCAAGGTTTAGATGTAGCTTGATCATAAAAAGAATGTCTTAGATGGTACTTTGCTTCTCTAAGCGACTATCCATAAGACTAGTGGAAACACTCCACAGAGTGTTACATTCACCAAGAAGTTGTTTAGTCCAAAGGAGTCCCTTAAATTTAACGATAAATTTGCTTCGCTTGATGTAAACAATACTGATGAATAGAAAGTTACTATTTAAAATGATAAACTTTCAACAAACAAGACTTAGATTTTTGAGCCTAAGAAACAAACTAGTCCTTCACCTAGGATTATTAAAGACAATTCTAAAAAAACTTGTAGAAGTGATAAAAAAGAGCAGTTAAGCTAAAGAAGTCTTGGCAAGAAAAAGAGACTGAGAAAATAAATCTTTAACAAAAATAAAAATGCTGTTTAAAATGCATTAGTGGAGTAAGATTCCCTAGACAATGAACTTCAAAGAGTTGACATAATTTTACCAGATTATAAGACAGTTAATATGCAGCCTCATTATGCTGAGAGATAGGAATAAGTCGAAGAAATCAAATAAATATAGTCGCCTCCTCGAACAACAAAGAAACAAGCTATATAATAGCTACAACAAATTTAGCATTCGAGAGTGAACTAGACGATAGAGAAACCTGAAAATAGCAAATTATATAGAACTTAAATGGACCCAAATAAAAAGACTTTCTAGGAAAATCTTGATCATTTGTTGAAAGAGCTTAATCAATCTGCTAGCGAGTTTCAATCATAAAGACAGAGGTCAAATAGTAAAGGTGATGTTACTCCAAATATACTTTATTCGAACAAAGAATAGTTTTAAAAGCAATATGAAACTAATGCAATAAATAAGGCGAATCAGGGGGGTATGAAAAAGTCTTATTGGATAAAGGACAATCCAAATTATTTAAAAGATTACCAGGAGGCTGAATACAACTCAATGACTTAAAAGCCTGGTACCATTAATACTTCAGACTTTGGTTTAAGTCTTGGAATAGATATAAATTCTTATAGTAGAGCCAAGACAAGCAATTTAAATCGTAGAGTTACTCATTAGAAATATAGTAATTCATTACAAAACACTCGTAAAAATATAGAGTTCAGGATCTTAAAAGTCAAGATCAATTAAAATACAGTCAAAGGAGATCGATCCATGTTTGAGATTGACCTAAATTAGCATTTCAAATTAAAGAGTAATTTTTAAAAGGATCTCCATAATAAGAAGAGAATACAAACATTAAGTAAGTAAAGCTCAAAGAGCAGGGTCTAATCTCCAAATCAAAATGAAATCTCATTGCTTAAGGCATTGAGAGAATCCAGTCCCTCCTAGATTCTCGATATATTTAGTAACTCTAATAGATTGGAATAGTGGAAGCAAATACCTTAGAATTCAATCAAGTTTACTCTTAATAAAAATGAGGTTTATGCCCCGAATATTATACCCATTGCTGATCATTTAAGGAGTGTAAAGAAATATGCCTTGAATCAGTATTTCTTTGGCAATAGAAATTAAAATACCGAGGTACAATAGTTTAATAAGACTATCATGGAAATCATTGGTCAATAGAAGCCCTAATACAAAAAAGACAAAGACATAACTTTACCCAGCAGTACAAGTCCAAAATTAAAGAATTAAGCAAGAAGATTGCAGTCTGGAGTAAGTCATAGGAAAAATCAATACTCTATGGGGAATCACCATGGTGGGTGGCATGGGTAGACCAATTAATCTATGGAATTCAAAACTCCAATTTCACAAATCAGCTAAATGAAAGGGTATTAAACAATGACCAATCATTTGAGGCAATCAAATAAAAGCAATAATCATTCAATCGGAGGTGGACTAACTGGTGGAGGTCCAGGATTTTACTAATTAGAAGGTAGTTCAAAGAAGTTAAGTAGTTTCAACTAAGACATTATGGGTATTCTGCAAGATGAGCAAAGCACTGGCTAAATTGACAATAATAGTTACTTGAAACAGCCAAGGTTCAATAATGTAAATCAAAGCCAGACAGGCATCCGTGTGAGTCAAACTAGCCATATGAGGCAAAGGAGTAGTGTTCTTTTTAAACATTAGGGTAAAGAAGTTAATCAATTAAGACAAAGTGATAAAGTATCTGATGTTATTGATATTCTAGCCCAAAACAATAAGCATTCAGAGATTTCTAATGACGTGATATTATGAGCTTGGCCTAATACAATTTGCAAGACTCACTTCTCAAAGTTGAGAACAATTAATGTCTAAAATCTTAAATCTGATATATTAATTTAATTATTATTATATAATCATATATTTATATTTGTTTAATGAGAACTTTGAAAATTTAAGATGAGGTTGCTACGGCATGCACTATAGCCTCTCTGCTGATCTCAGGCTACTAGATTGGTTGCCACCTCGCTAATTATCATGAACCTTCTCTTTAACTCTATGTCATTCGCATACTCTTAATGATCCCAGTAAGTGAAATACTAGATCTTTATCAAACTTACTTAATCCTTGTCAGGTTTACTCTACAGCAACTTGGCTCTCTGTGATGATACCCAAGGAGACGCTTCTTTTCAATACAATGAGAGATATGTAAACTTATTCATTTTTATATATAAATTGATTTTAGTTATGAGGCATATGTGCTTTACATTTTTATGAAGCTCTTGATTCAATTTTTGGGTGGTGAAAACAGTCTGATAGTACATCTAGAATTTAAAGTAAACACTAGCTATGATAAATTTGTCTTTAGAGAAGAATTAGATAACCATGGCCTCTTGATGGGTTGAAACCATTACAAACCGATAAGTAATAATAAGTTGTCAATAAATTTTCAGGATATTCTTCAGACACGTTAAATAGGGCGTACTCTAATTTGTGCTAATCAAACCCATTACAGCGATACTTGCGATTGTATTTGATAAATATGGCATTTACAACGAGGGGCATTTTGAATTCAGGGCAGGTTATCTTTATCTGTCAATTATTAACAACATCTCAATCTCTCTATCTCTATACTGCCTCGTACTATTTTACATGGCAACAGAAGAAAGACTTAAGCCTTTCAACCCATTCGCAAAATTTTTGTGCATTAAAGCTATATTATTTTTCTCCTTTTGGCAAGCTTGTGCTTTTACTATCTCACTCAAAATGAACTTATTCGATAGAGACTTTTCTCAGTTAGCTTAAAGTTTAATCATATCAGTGGAGATGGTTTTTGCTTCAATAGCATAGGCATTTGCTTTCAATTATAAATCTTTCGTTGATCATGGGAAAAAGAGACAGAATGTATTCAAAACGATAGGTTATGTACTGAACGTCAAAGATGTGATTAGTGACGCACATAATACTTTTATTAAGGACAATAACAAAGATTCTGAGTAGGAGACTATCATGGAGGATGTGCTGAAGGATAAAGCATTCAATTGGACAGACGAGGAAGAGACTCCAAATCCTTTGGATAAAAGCCCTGGAAGTGGAGAAGAGGTTAATAATCCATATCAGATCTCAAGTAAGAGTATGACAACTCAGAATAAAAAGATTAAGAAATAGAAGTACAAGCAATCTTAACTTGGATCTTCTAACTCCTCTTCAGCAACAGCTACTACCACTATCTAGTAGCACTTAAGTCAAATTAAGAATAAAAATACGACTAAGTCAGCTGAAAAAGGCTACAGTCAGCTGAAAAGTAACTAACCTCATTAGACTACGGTACACAGTGGAGTGTAGTATACAAAGCATAAAAATAGTGAGAACGAAGAATTCGATACTGATAGCTACGATGAGGATGAAGACGAAGAGTTCAGTGGAGGCGAGGATCTCATTGAAATCAGAATTGCTAGTAATTCTGATCATTGTACAATAGATAATAAAGAGTAAGATTTGAAGGAACACCAACTAGACTTAGAGAAGAAGTCGAACTAAAACTCAGGAAAGAAACCTCACGCTCAAAAGATTATCTAAGTCTGACTCAAGTTGTTTTCCTTGTAGACTTCCAAGATGCAGCAATATATTCCTACTACCAATATCCAATTTATATAATTTATCACTTAATTAAACCATATGATTTAGAATATTATAGATTAGGTGGGGTTTTGGGGTTTTGGGGTTTTGGGGTTTTGGGG